ACTTAAACACAAAGAAAAAATCTTGATAAAGTTTAAGCAATGGAATTTTCTGATAGTATTATCAAAATATGCTAGAAACCACTTGCAATGCCAGAAATCAGTGGTTATACTTGATGCACAGAATCACTGATTACATTTTAATTTCAGAGGTGTTGGTTTTAAGCCATTTTTTATGGCTGTAGGCACTATCAAGACAAATTCTCTGTGGAAGCTGTTGTTAGCACATGCTTGTAAAAGCATGTCATCAGTGCACAGGAGATGCTTAGCTTGCTAATCTTCATAACAGGTAAGCACACAGCTATTGAACCATTAAAGTTAATAAGTGTTGGGGAGGGACTGAAGGCTGAGAAGAGAGTTTCAGACATTTTTTCTTAATAAAAAAATAACACCTGAAAAGATGTTCTAAAATATAAGAGGACTGTGTCTATAGACCTTGACATGGAAGTACATCGTTAAGATGCTTCGCCTAGGAATTAGGGACCCATAATGAGTTTATGTTGTTCATTCAGTAACCAATTCCTGACCACAGGGTCAAAGGAAAGGGACAGAAAACCTCAATAAGATTGTATGTCTTAAGTTCTCCATCTCATGTCTTCTAGAATGAACTGGAAAGGATATTGATGGCCACTTTGCAATAATTGAGTCTGAAACTCACCTGCTCTTCCTAGAGACCATTATCACGAGAAACTGAGACGTACATTTTGAACGAAAATATTGTTATTAAGGAATTAAAAAACAAAGATCATTATTTGCGAGGACTAATGATTTTCTTTCAATGAAAGGTTACAATTTTACAGCAGGTGATGCAGTGTGAAATCATTCCTGGGAATGTTAATGAGAGTTCACAAATTGAAAAGCCTCAGAGCCCATCAGCTGAAGCACATTAAGCAATTCTGTGTACAGAACAACTTTATTAACTTCTTTAAAGTTTTAGTATTTAAACAGTTAATGGGTTTAAGAGTCAATGTACTCATTCCATGATCAGAAAGTAACCTTTAATTTCTACCTAGCAAGGCAGTGGAAATTTTAACGCCAAGTGATTTAGGCTAATTTATTAACATGTACAAAACCACAAAGCTTTAGAAAGCAGGTGTACTTAGAGAATTACAAGTGGTTTAAATCCTTGATTTCTAGTGTATAAGGTGGTATGTGAGAGACTGGGTGGTTGAGTCAGTTAAAGAGCGTTGTTTCCCATGCTAGGTGGTTGGATTCAAAGAGGAATCACTAAAAAATAGTTTAAATATTTTTAAATACTTAAGCAGGAAAATACTGTATTTTTGAGAGTGGATCCAGGAAGCCTTGTGGAAGATGCACAGAAAAGAAGTGATGCCGTGGTCATGTTACTAGTACCAGGACATTTCTGGAGAACAACTTGTGGGTGACACATGGACAGCTACAACTGGACTGAAGAAAAGAGAAAGAATTAAGAACATCAGAATCAGCTGCCTAAAAATTAATTTGATCTTCAAGATGATGCATCAATGATAATTATTAGGTTTCTAACTTGGGTATTGGGTATGAAGTTTCTACATAAGACAAATAGGAGAAGGCTTATATTGGGATTTGAAAAAAGGGCAGAAATGCTAAGTTCAGTGCCCATCCCTTGATTGCCACTTCATAGCCACGTGACAGGGGAAACTTAATCTCTCCGTTTCTGTTTCCTCACATGCAAAATAGGGATAGTTACAACATGCATCTTATGGGGTCACTGTGCTGATTCAATTAACTCATACACACCATCACCAACAACTACAGCGCTTTCATAATCTCAGTTGCTACCTCACTCATTGTAACTTGACACAAATAACCTTGATTCCAACAATCTTTAATTCCACTGTAATGCACAACATATTTCTCCTAACATCCCTTACTGTACCTCACTCTTCACTGCCCTTAATTCGCTTGTGTCCCGGCTTAAATTCCATGGCCAATCCTTGGAATCAGGCCCTTGCACACACCTTGCACACTTGCAATCTCTACTTCTTTGCTTCTCTCTCCCTTCACTGTATCGGGTGAAACCGTCTCCATAAGGCTGGCTCTTGTCTACTCCTGGAGCTAGAACCTAACTGGAGAAATATGACTGAATGTGACCAGAGAAATATACCCATCCAAGCTTAATGGTCTTGTTCTAAATTTACAGTTATTAAGAAGAGACTGCTCATTATTCCCTGCCAATCATATGGCATTCCCTTGATCCATGTGGCTCCCACTCTCTTAGGTGACCGCTGTGTAACTTCTTCCAGATCCTCAGAATCTTCATACCATCCTTCCTCTCAGCAATGACCAAGCCTCCTATTTCTCTAAGAAAATCTAAGTGTCATATCTTTTTTTTTCCATAGCCATTCCCTCTACATGTCGGTTAGATTGTTCTTTTAAAAATATGCCAGATCATTCTCTCTTCTGATCAAAGTCCTCTAATGGCTTTCAACTTCACAACTTCACAATAAAAGCTAAAGACTTTACAATGGCCTAAACTACTCTACACACATGAAAATCTTAAGACATCTTTGGCCTTCTCCACTTTTGCTCTCTGCACAGACTCTGACCCAGCCACTAATTTCCTTGATGCCCTTCAGATACGCCAGGTTTCTCCAGCCTTTGAGCTTTTCCTTGTTCTTTTCTGGTGACTCCTCTGTCTACAAAGTTCTCTCCCCAGCGAGAAACAGGGGTGACCCCCTCATTTCTCAGCTCTTCATTCAACTATTTCTTTGGTAAACTGCCTCTTTTACAAATGCAATCCCAGCATTTCTTCTCTTTTCCTGCTTTAATTTTGTCCTTGAGTTTTTAGATACCACCAGTGTTTTAATACAACCAGGTAGTAAGTAATACACGTATTGCTCTGTGTGTTGCCTGTTTCATCCCACAGAATGAAACCTCTACAAAGGCGAAGATTTGATTTCACTTTTTATTGTTTTTCCTTCTACTGATAAAACTATTTGGCACATACTAGGCACTCAAATACTTCTTGAGTGCATTAATATATTTAGCATAGTAGCTGGTATAGTATATACGCTCAATAAATAAGAGTTATTGTTATCAAATATAATATTAATAATGCATTGGGCAACATGGAATACATAAGAACATGGAAGCTCCAGGTTGCAGCGTTACAACTTTCAGATTCAGAAGAGGAGGATGAACTTAATACACATTAACATGGTAATAAAATAAGACGAACAAACAAGATCCCATGGGGAAGAATGTTAATAGTGGAAAGCTGTGGCAGGTGAGGGGCGAGTATCGGAATGAGCTAACATGGGGCAGGCTGAAGTCCTAAAAGCCAAGGAAGATATTAAAAGGAAGCATCCAGAGAAACAGAAGGAGAATCAAGAGAATGTGGTTTAATGGGTCAATGAAAGGTAGACATTTGTGAAGGCTGAGGTGGTTAACCGTGCCTAATACTTCAGAGCAAATAATACTAAGGAAAGGATGACATCATAAATGTTCAGCTACAAATCATAATTCAAACTGCAGGAAAATTTAATGATTGAAAATAAATGTTCAGAACCAACAGTGTCTACAAAAGCAATAAAAGAGTTGGCAAGATCAGTAGAAGATAAGACGTTCATTTAACACGTGCTCTTTACCTTTGATTCTTTTGAAGAAAGAAAGGAGGGAATAATAAAAAAATCCATCTCATGTTTGACCTTGTATGACCAGAGGCTGTGACAAAAGTGAGCCAAAGAAACAGTCCCTCCGCTCACTGAACTGAGCAGGCTTTTACCCAGATGGGTGGGTAATCGAATGACATCATCAATTTCTTCCTCAACTTAAAAAATCTAAAATCAAGGGTACAACTCAACCAATAAAATGACTGAATTTTTTAAACCGAATGAAAATATATAAAAATTTTACAAGTCCTTTCTCTTTAAGAGAATATTCCAAAAGAATAAAAATCATACCAAATTCAACTAAAAAGTCAAGTATTTTAATAAGGCTCTCATTATTTTTAATCAACCTTATTTACTACAGGATATCTAATAAATCATACATGAAGAAAGAAAATTTACAATAAGTTACTGCTATCCTCAGCAACATGCAGGTATTTTCCTTTGCTCCAAATTTGTAGATTGAGAAAATGAAGAGTTTTAAATATTTTTTTCACTAAAGGCATTTCAAATACAAACAATATTTTACAGATAATTACAAAATGAATCATAAGTGGGTGCGAACTGAGTAATTTGATTAATTTCTAAGTTGACCTTTAGAAAAGTATTTGTCTAGCATTTCTTAGTTGTTGTACTTTAATTCTATAAACCTGAAGTTCCAAGCTGCTTAAATTCCATGTTGTTTTTAAAAATGAGAACTGCGTTACGGATATAAAACAGTTTGCTTTGTAAGATAACTATTTCACTTTAGAAACAAATTGGATTTTTGAAATGTAAGATGAATATCATCTCTGAGTGCCTGCTTCTCTTTCTATCAAAATGTGTTCTTCTCAGGGTTACCTTACTTATGCATTTTTCACCTGTATATTTATTGAATCAAGTAATTATTTTGCAGGTCATTAAATTTATTCTCCACGAACAAAAAAAACCAAATGCACCTAATGGCAGTGCACAGCTTTCTTCAAGCTATGTGTCCTCTTTCTAAGTAGCCTCTGACTCAGAATGAGAGACCTCCACATTGCAGATGTATTATGTGCATCTCCAGCAAAATTGCCCATAAGAATAACTTCATTATTCTGGGAAGCTAGATCTATAAAACATGTAAAATGTGGAAGTGTTCTGCCTGTACAATTTCTGGTAAGTACCACATGGCTAAGTGATAAAACCTGAGTCAGCGTTAGTTAGAGCATACCTTACTAAGACGTTTATTGTGCCACGAAGGAAAAAGGAAATACAGTGGGCAGAGGGGTCCTGTCTGCAGTAATGAGGTATTTTACATCTCTAGAGTCCTGCCTCGATAGAAAATGATCTCTGGAAGCATCTAGTGGCAGCGTGCACCAGTTGGCCCTAGAAGCCCCAGTGATTGCAGAATGATGAGAAGGAGAAACTCACCAGCACCACTGGACAGATTGTTGTGGGTGGTAAAATATGGTCCTTCAAAGGTCCGCAGTCACATTCAGGTTTTAGATGAGAAGCACATTTGTTATGCAGCTATGAAAGGAGAAAGAGGACACTATCAGATGGGCAGGACAGCAGCAAGCACGAGGCCGACGACACTTCTACTGAGATAGAGCAGATACATTACAAGTATTCCAAGAACAAGCAAACAGCATCATAAAGGGATTCACAGTACACTTGCTCTGGTACAGTCTGCCTTTAGTAACTGTTTATCAATGCCCGTAGCCCAGCCTATGCATTTTCTAATTCTCAGAAGTGTTTGTATTAAAAATGCGCTTAGGTTTTCCACCCAAAAATCTGTTTTCTTTGACAAGCACACATTATGGTCTATTACAGCCCTTCTTTGGCTTATCTGTTAGTGTGATCTTGAAAACACTGTGCACTGCAGATGCTTTTTTTTTTTTGACCCTCCTGTTTTCTCAAAGTCATTCCAAAGTGCACAGCTCAGTATGGGGCATAATTGATCCCATCATTAGTTTTAACTTTGTAATTCAATATGTAAATGTAACCAGAGATTCATCTCAGTAGGAGCAGGATATAAATATAAGAAGATGATTACGATGAGAAAAATTTATCTTTATATTGTATTTATCAGCTCTACATTTAGCATAGAATCATATGACATGATATTCAGTTTCCAGCATGTATGGACCCAAACTGTTATTTTTATCAACCTTGGTGTTACAACATAGTGCATTAAATAGTGATTTTTTTTTTAATTGAGTGATAGTTCTTGAAAGTATACAGAATTGCTAAAGTAGTAGTTGTTTCAAGGCATCTAGGGATTTCTCTGTCCTCTACTCCGTATCAATTTAATATGAAATACTCACACTTTAGGCAAATTATACATGCTAATAAAATAACACGCCTTGTTCAAAACTGAAAAGGAGTTGCTTCATTTTTCAGTTTTGAATCCAAAGGCATCCCATTTAAGTCATGGTTATATTAATTTCCACAACAGACCTACCTTCGTAACAGTTAATTAGCAACCACGCATAGGAGTCTAAGAAGTGTTGATCTACTGTTGGTGATGGTAGATCACCACCACTGAAGAGGTATTTCTGTTGTCCTTGAATCTGAAACGTCTATCATAGTAATGCCCTGTCTTGGAGTTAAGGCTACATGTACTGTAATTAATGCACATTAGGCCACATTACGTGAAATAAAAGTCCCTTTCCACATTCATCCATAATTAGCAGCCTGGCTTCTCAGTGGCACGTAAACTCCTTATAAATAGTGTTTTAATCTTATCAGGCACTGCGGCTCTTTCTCAAGAGGCAAAAGGTATTGAAGATAAAGAGGTAGTTGAAGCCACATGCAAAATAGAACCAAATTAAGGGACATCGTTTCACAAATGAACATGTATCATTTCCTCAAAATAAAATTAGTGGCCAGTTCCCATATATTATTAATTTATTGGACTTCTCAATTTTCTTAGAATAAATGTTAGTTTTAGACATATGGACTACCAAGCATTGTAGATTAAATTGGATCTTTCCCCAGTGGAAATCCTAACTCCTGGGACCTGCAAAGATGAACTAATTTAGAAATAAGATCTTTGTAGGTGTATTAAAGTTCAGATGAAGTTATACTGAATTAGGCTGGGCCCTAATCCAATGACTGGTTTCCTTACCAGAAGAGAAAATCTAGAAATAAAAAGACAGACCTGGAGGGGAGAAGGCCCAGTGACAGCAGAGGCAGAGATTTGGTGCTAGAACCTCAAACTGAGGAGCTCCAAGGATTGTTGGCCACCACCAGACACAAGAAGAAGCAAGGGAGGACTCCTCCTGACAGTGTTCAGAGGGAGCACGGCTCTGCTGCCATCTTGATCTCAGGTTTCTAGCCTCTAGAACTAAGCGAGAATAAATCTCCTTTCTCATTTTGTGGTATTTTGTTACCCACCCTAGGAAATGCATATACAGATCATTCTGAAAACTGAACCAAAATCAAACACAAACTGTGTGTGTTAAGGCTCTTTTGTCCTTTGGTGTCACAGAGAAAAAGCTTTGGCTTTTTGATTCTGTACAACTAGTTTAAAACTGACAATACAAGCCAGAAAGAAAGAGAAAATTCCATACGATATCAATCATATGTGGAATCTTAAAAAAAGAAAAAAAAGAAAACAAAAGGACACTAATGAACTCATCCACAAAACAGAAAAAGACTTGCAGACATAGTAAACAGTCTTATGGTCACCAGGGGAAAGGGGGTCAGAAGGGATACATTTGGGAGTTTGAGATTTACAAATGTTAGCCACTATACATAAAAATAGATTTAAAAAAAAGTTTCTTCTATATAGTCCAGTAAACTATGTTCAATATCTTGTAATAAACTTTAATGAAAAAAATGTGAAAATGAATATATGTATATGCATGACTGGGACATTGTGCTGTAACCAGAAATTGACACATTGTAACTGATGGTACTTCAATAAGAAAATGATCTGAAAATTAAAAAATAAAGGACACAGGCTAATCAATCATAATGAAAAAAAAAAATGACAATGCAAGACTCTAAGAAGCCACCACAAAGAAAGAGATCCCAGATAAAAATTCAGTGTGTACCAAGCGAGAAAGCACTACATTTTCACTTTTGACTGTGGTTTGCAAAGCTTCACATGTGACTCTGAAGGACAGAGAGGCGGGGCATGCTGAACTGTTTTGCCTGCACTGATCACAGATACAGTCTGGGGGTCTCAGCCTCCTCTAGGCCTCCATTCCAGGTTTTTCTAACCATCTGAAACTGATAGGGTAAGGGATGGCTAACCTCTCGCTATCATCATTTGAGGGTTACCAGATATAAGAAAAGATAATAGAAATGAATTTAATGACAGCTTTTTGGCATTCAGGCTAGTTTTCCAGCCAAAAAGAAGGAATCGAGGACTCAGGTAGAATCACGCAGTTGATAAGCTGAACAGAATGTGTGTGCAAAGGGGTAACTCTTCATATTGCAGTTTGAGGGTTTCAGAGCCGAGCAAAAAAACCAGCATGGGATTTTCCAGTGGGATTGCCACATGGCCCATATCCCTGAGTTTCCTCTATGGAGCTGCAAGGCAGAGTGTTGCCGGAACATGAGCATGTAGCAAGGTCTACAAGAAGGTCAGTAACCATATCATCCTCAGTGAAACAGTGCAACACGCAGTGCAGGAAAATTATCCTCCCCAAGAAGGCTGTAAAATGTGCAAGGATACCTTGTACTCTTATTAAGTCTGGAATCTGGCAACTGCTAAACATATCTGGGTATCCATCGACATCATGACATCATTAGTAGCCAGGTGCATCAAAGCTGAGGACACCATGTTGGAAAATAGTAGTCATTCCACAATTTGTATAGCAGGTGTAGTTTATTCTCAGAGACAAACTTGAGGACAAAATACAAAATGTGAAAGCCAATGAGAAAATGCTTATGGTTCCCAGGACTACTTATCAAGATTAAAAGTGAACATCATGTTGGCTATGAAACTAAAACTTCTGTTAAAAAGCAGTCTATTTAAAAAGATAGCAAATGTCAACAAAAGAAAAACCATGTAATAGAATTTAAAACCACTGCCCCACAAAACTCTCTTATGTTACTGGTAATGTTGTGTTTCCTGATCAGGTGCTGGATACATGGGGTGTTCATTTGTGAAAAATTTATTGAGCTCTACCCTTAGGAAACTTACACTTTTTCTGCATGTATGTTATTTTCAACAAAACTGTAAAAAGGAAAAAAAAAAAGGAACATAATCAGCAATTTTAAAAAGTTGCTTAAACTTGTCACTATGATATTTTACAAAAAAAAAAGACCTAGCTGAGTCTTTCTCAGTGTCAGTAAGATACTGAAGTCCAACAATTGTCTTGAAGAGAAATAAGCTAGAATATTAATGAATTCTGTCTCTTAAATAAAATGGCCAAGGGAGTCCAGAGAAAAGAAATCAATTGTTCCCTTTTGAAAAATATTTTTATTTTTGTTTAGTTATTTTTGCATTTTTAAAGACTAAGGCATAGAAATCCTGAGGTCATTATTTTATTATACGTTCAGAAACTTCCATTCATGTTAAGGAAATCAGTCCCATATCGAGGAAATTCATAAAATATGAACCAGCTATTCCTAGAAGTGAATTAAACACTTGGAAATAATTCCAGAGTTTATGACAATTTCCAAGCACCTAATTTAGAGCCAGATCTATGTTTACTGGAAAAAGCTGTCTCAATTGAGGAAGAAAAAGAAAATGTGTGAATGTGTGTGTGTGCATGTATGTGTGTGTGCGTGCGCTTATGGGATGGAGTTGAGAAGAGTGAGGTTATGTACTGAAAAGAAGGCAGTGGGATCTAACAGGTCAAAGGAGGAAAAATAGACAATAAATTTTCATGGGAATTTGGAGGAATAAAGAGAAAAAAGTCATTTTTCTGAAGAAAAATGAAGACCTGATTTAGAGAAATATTAGTCAATTTATAAATTCTTTTGTCTCTAACATTTTGCTATTTCAGGTGCTGTCAATGCTGGCACTTGCTGAAGCATAAACCTTTCTTTTGCAAAGGCATTGGAAACCTTTGAACATCATTGTTAGGAGCTTATGATTTTAATTAAAGTAGTAGTCCTACATGATACCAAAAGTAAATAATTCACAGCCATCATACAGGCTTTCTTTTGCCAAACTCAACTGAAACACGTCACCTTCCTATCCTGGAGGGTCCTGCCTGACCAGGGACATTTTACCACAACTAGGAACAAATGATAACATGTTTTAAATGGAACATCAAGAAAACACGTTCATGGCAGAAATGAGCAGGTACAAACAGTGGGATCTTAAGGATCAGGGAATGTAAGCGAGTGGAGAAAGAGAGAACCAATGAAGATACCCAGGCCTGCTGACCGAATGATAAAACACAGCAAAGTGGCTGCCTAAATGTTAGAAGACAGTTTACATTGCTCTTACTTAGAATTTTTCTATTTTTCTTTTTTTTTTAATTGATGTATAATCAGTTTGTGTTACAATGTTGTTGTGTCAGGTTCTGGTGTACAGCATAACAGTTCAGTCATATATACATACACACATACACACATACACAATACATACATATGTACCTATGCTCATTTTTATATTCTTTTTCATTGTAGGTCTCTATAAGATATTGAATATGGTTCCCTGTGCTATAAAGTATATAAACTTGCTGTTTATCTATTTTATATACAGTAGTTAGTATCTGCAAGTCTCAAACTCCCACTTTATCCCTTGGGTTTTCTGGTTTTTTCAAACGGCTAGATTTGCAAAAGGAGATAAAACTCAGTTCTAAGAGCCTAACTTTATATCTACAAGATGGCAAAACAGTGCAAAATCAAGAAGCCAGAAATACTGACGGAATAGGGGTGTTGACTTTGTTTTAATCTTTAAGTATTCATCTATGCTTGTAAATCTGACGCAGATCTGAGTATCACAGAATGATTAAAAACAATTTAAATCATGCACTTAAAATTCACTATTGAGCAGGAAGAATAGTATATCAGTCATTCAGGTGAAATTATTGAGGACCGCCTCTAAACTCAACACTCAATCAAGAATTTAGGAAAAAATGTGTACACTGGACTCGGAGCTGAATGAGAACATCATCTAGCAGTGTAGACCATGTGAGCATGTAGACAGGACACTGCTGGACAGCATTCCCGTCCTTCCTTTGGTGTGGAATACAGAAGAGAAAGTATTCCGAAAAAGGAAGTATTAGTGTCAAGGAAAATTTCAAGGAAGATATGGAACTTAATTTGGTTCTTGAGGTGTAGTTAGAATTTAAGGTGGGTGCACTCACGGCACTAAGAAGGAGTAAAACAACAGGAAAGAAGCATGACTGTCCCAGCGGCCGGCCAAGAGATGCACACTGCTGCAGCGGGGGCTGGGCACAGAGGGGGGTGTTACACGTGTCGTGTGCTCAGGTTTGGGTCTGGTACTTGGGGAACTGAAAACTAGACTGAGGTAGGAAGCAGCGAAGGCTGCATTTATCACCACAGAACTATTACAGGTTGCTGAAGGTGGCATATGATAACAAACTAGTATTTTCAGAAGATGACTCTGGAGGTGGGTTACAGCCTGCGTTATAGGAAAAGTACCTTCTGTCAGGGACATGAGCCAAGAGCTCTGCCTCTAATCTAGTTAAGAGGTGCTAAGAGCTTGCACTTGGGCTGTGAATGGTGAAGACAAAAACTCAAATCTGAGGGAGATATTTTAAGGAGGAAATTTAAAGGCTCAGTGGTAGATTGAATATGTGAGATGAAGGTGAAAGACAAGGATGAAAGAAATTGATTTCGAACTCTAGTTCCAATGACTGCGAGCCATGCAAAGCATGCATTCCATGTCTGATAGAAAAGAGAGGGTGGGAAGAGCTGTTCTTTGTGAATATAAATCAATCAGCTCCGTCTAGGATTCAGTGATATGTAGGACCACACGGTTCTGGATGCTTTTAGAACACCCAGGCGCTATTCTTAGATGAGGCAACTACAGATCATTCCAGAATTGAGAGAGGGATGGCACGAGCGATATTCATGGAGTGCCCTCTGTGAGCCAGGGGTGTGGTTTTGTGCCCCCACATGACATTTTACCTAGCCTTCACTATAGTAATAAATGTCAGTGACTGAGCACTGTTACGTATGAGGTCCTGCACTAAACATATCTAGACAGATTTTTAAATTAATTCTTATAACAATCCTACAAGATAGGTAACATTAAGCCCATTCTACAAATGAGGAAACTGGCCAACACTTTTTACATACCGGGCCAATGAATGCACAGCTACCAGACTAGTTGTTGGACAGAGACATTCTTAAGAATCTGCTCATTCTTGGCGGGGAGGGTATAGCTCATTGGTAGAGGGCATGCTTAGCTTTCACAAGGTCCTGGGTTCAATACCCATTGCCTCCTTTTAAAAAAAAAATCTAATCAATCTAACTTATCAGACTCAAGCCATTTCCAGAAGTCACACGTATAAAGGAAGTGATGGCATTTGGGAAACCAGTGAAATAAAGCCAGCTTGCATTCTCTTTGTTTCTCTCTGCAACCTGTTCCTCGTGGACTCTGTTCAGATGGGCTTTCCTAAAGCCCAGCACTGATGGTGCCGCAGATTCCATCACCGTCACTTCTGCTAGCTTTTTGCTATATTAATAGCACTTTCCAAGAAGCATAAAGACATAAGAAAGTAGAGTCAGTCTGTTTAAAGGCAACCAGTAGTGTAGGGGAGTGTCAGTCAAGAGTAGGACAACTTTATACTAAAATTTTCATACAATGGTTCAAGAAGAAAGTAGAGATTATACCAAATATGCAACTGTTCTGAGGGAAATATATTGTTTAACCCAGACACACAATCAGTACATCTATAAGTGAATTCTTATAGCTGCTCAGCGTTAACAATCCCAGAGTGCACAGAGGCTGAGGTTACTTTTGAGAAGGCTACATATGTTTTTTTCTGGATACATAGGGACTTTTTGAAAGATTTCAAGTCTTGTTCCATGAACCCAACACCTAGAGGACCCCTGGAGATGACGGTTTACAGCTAAAAGGTGGAAGTCAGCCAGCAGCTGGGAGAGCGGAGCGAGAGGGCAGCCACTTTCCCCCGATCTGCTCCCTGGTGAGTCTGCGTCTTGAGCAGAACTTGGGACTTAAAGGCATTTGCCGTTTATATTGTGCTTTGCCATGTGACAAATAGAGTCATCTTCGTGTATACATTTACCCTTTGCTAGGAATAAGATTTTAGTGGCATGTGGTCTGAACTGAATTGGACGTGAAATCCTTGGATTTCAAAAAGCATAGTTTATTCAGAGGTGGCACCTTCCATCCTATAAAAGGAAGGGCCTAATTTCCTACAACTCTCGGGTCAAGGATCAAGACCAAATAGAAATGTGTCACTGAAGAGTGCTTGGGCTAGAAATGCAGATTTTGGAGTCACAATGAGAGGAACTGCTAAAACAAAAGAAAGAAAACAAGAAAAACAAAATGAAATATAAGGCAAGAAAAACATTTCAAGATGTTCCGAGTATCAGTATGAGTCCATCAGCAATGGTAACTTTGAGGAGAATGATTCCCATAGAATGAAAAGGGCAGAAGGCATACTCCATAGAGCTCAAATGGGGAAAGGAGGAGAGGAGTCCAAGAAAGTTCTAGAATCTCTAAAAGCTATTGTATTAGGAAGGCAGAAATGTATATTTTAGACTCTTCAAACACTAAATACTAAATTGTCTTTTTTTCAAGAAATGAAAAAGGAAAGAAAAATAACAAATCTAAACATTACATTTGAAATATATGAAGGATGAGGAAATAACCTGAAAATCAAGAGATAATTTTGATATTCTCTAATTTCACTTTATGTTAAAGTAAAGATATAAGAAATGAAAGATGCACTTTGTGGGGAAAGTAAGAGGAAAAGGCTCCTACAAGATCTGAAACAAAAACTAAATTTTTATAAATGTTTAGCAAGAAAAAAAGAAAACTAATACTTTTTAACATGCACAAATTTCTTACAAAATGAAATAGTTGTGGCCTTCTTAAAACTGAGAACTCAATATGTTTAGGTAGTTCATATGTGTAATTTAAATCATTGTTAGACATTTTATTATAATAACCAAACACTTCAAAAAATAAAACTGTCTTTCATAATTGAGGAAATTTCAAGTGTAAATATAATTTAACCGAGGAATAGCTGAAAATGATTGAAGAAAATGTGTTCATTTAAAAAAAGTACTTAATTGTACTTTTCAAATGCAAGTCACAGTTTGTTTTTCTCATTATCCTCTGTGTGTGTGTGTGTGTGTGTAGTAAAGTAAAGTTTTTAACGGTGTGTGTGCTGGGAGGGGTACTGAGGGGCACTACAGAGAAACTTATTTGCTTCACTCAAACAGTGCTCCCTACTGCTTCATTCTCACAAAAGCAAGAACAATTTGTCCTAGTAACAAGATGAGTCATACAGGAGTTGTAAAAAGAAAGCAAAACCAAAAGGGGAAAAAAATTCAGCCCTTTAAAGGTTTTTGTATAAAAATGTAAAAAAAAATAGCTATTCTTGAAAATGTGTATTCTAATTAAGTTCCAGAAATAAAACATGAAACATTAGAGGTACCATCTAACAACTGCATTTATTCCAGAAGTTATCTGAAGCACCTGTGACAATCATGTGAGCCAGGTGGGATGCTAAAGTCACCCAGGGAAGGCCAAGTGATCTCTTCTTTCAGGACTGTCAATGCCATGAGTAAGTAGAGTTTACGTCCATACCTCTCATGCCTCACTTTACGATTTAACTAAAGGAGCAAGGCAACAACATGTGGTGAGGAAGAGTAAAGTGAGTTTTCAGGAAGCCTCAAGAATTGAAATATGGACCCTCTTGCATCTCTGCCTAGCCACGTGGTCACCGACGATGTGTTTAGATTTCCTTGCTCTTAGTATCTTCACTATACAATTAAGTCTTTGGATCACATTATTCCTTTTTTTCCCCCTCTTTAAGCTCAGAGATTCTGTGATCAAAATAAATTTACAACACGTGCAATAGAAAACTCTACCGAAATAGTGCTGCGGGGCGGAGGGGCAGCTGAGCCCTCCCCAGGCACCACTACAGTCACGGAGTCGGCCTGCCTCCCCGGCAAGTCCCAGAACGCCACAGCGCCCGGTCTGAAAGCCTCCCCGCGGTGCAATAATCTCTGAGGCTGTCACCAGCTCTAAAACTCCGGATTCTACGAGGACAAATCTGGACTCTGACCCTTATCCCATTGGCAGCCACAGATGAGAGAAGAAGCCTCCGTGATTCCGTGCTAGCCTGGACTCAGTCTAGAATTCAGGCCGCCCTTCTGCGCTGGGGCTCTCGGAGAACACGGGTTACGCTGCCTTCACTGCGCATGAAGGCCGGAGGTGTCTCCTCCGCCGTTACTCACTGTGATCTGACACCACACGCAGTGCAGTCCTGTCAGGCCCTGGTAACACTTCACCGTTTTGTGGCACTTGTCACACTTGGTCGGGCAGTTGCCTTCAACCCAGTAATGATGCATCACCTAGAACAGGACAAGAGCGCCACGGTCAGAGGGGACGTCCGTCCACACCCCCCTCAGAGCGCAAGCATGCCGCACACTTACGTCCGTGTTCTTCTTGGACTTCACGTAAGTCTTGATGCAAGAAGGAGGCGCTCTGGCCACGCAGCGCTCGTGCACCGTGTACTTGCAAACTGAAAGGAAACAGGTACACAAGTTGCGAGCTAATCCCGGTCCTGACTGCAGTTTTACAGAGAAAGGATGACGTTAACAGAAGCTCATCTTGTCTCCACTGGTCCCTAATCAATCCCATCAGCCACATCAAGGGAAAGTCCAGGTCGACTGTTTGGACCGTGGAATACAAAAGCCAATTAGCACAGGAAATATTATGCATGTGAAAAACCAAGGCTCCTCTGTCACGGCAGAGCAGGAAGTGCTTGATTAAATCAGGCCCCACTCAAATTTTTCGCAATAATTCCCAGATGACAAAAATATTAAAGACAAATTGATGACTGCCAAATGGCTGGGTGTCATTTGCTAGAAGGAAGAGATCTATGTCTTACAAAGTATAGGCATGAGAGCAGCTGGCAGTCATGGGAATAAAAGCCCACGAGCTTATGCGATTTTGTCTATTGATTTATCTAAACCTTAAATGGCTGATTAGTCTATTTTCAGAGAATAGATTTGATCATACATGCCAGGCGTTCAGTACAAGTCCATTCCATCTTGTCATCATGTTTGTCCAAAAGGAACAACCTTTCCTGGGCAGCATATGAGATATATATACGTAAATTTTTATATGTATGTGCAAATATGTATATATACACATATACGAACATAGGCATTTGTGTATATATGTATATACATACACAGATACATATATATTAAAAATGACATAAAGCCAATACACGCACTTTAAAGCATCTTCAAATTATTTCATGGGTTAATTCTGAATATAACTTAGGGTCATATACAGATGTTCTTTAATAAAGTGCTGATTCGAAACAAAAGAGTTCTAAATGCACTAAGAATAAAAATAAACAAAAAACAATATACACAAGATCTTATGGTAGCTCACAGAGAAAAAAAATGTAACAACGAATATATATATGTTCATGTATAACTGAAAAATTGTGCTCTACACTGGAATTTGACACAACATTGTAAAGTGATTATAAATCAATAAAAAATGTTATATTGTTGTTAAAAAAAAACCAGGTAGCTCTCCCAATCAAACAAAAATTAGTCACTGCATGAAATTAGAATAAAAAATACCAAATCCACATGATATTTATACAGTAAAACTCTTCCCAAATAGCCACATCTGTGATTTCCTTTGGCAACACTGAGGAAGAAAGGTACTTTCTTTTCTCTTCCATATTGGCAATAACGTTGAATGCATCTACGCTACCTCAGTCAGTTAAATTTGTGAGCATAATTCTCATTCTGTATGACACCACTCAACATTATTAGAGAGTTATCATTTTGTTTCATAAGCTCCCATCAACAGAATGTACCATGAATTTTTTTCCCTTAAAAATAATAAAACTTTAAAAATAAGTTACTTCCTTTGTACATGGAGAATGTTCTCGTGTAACTAGCCTTTTAAATGTGGCCACCAGAAACTGCCCTCTGAAGTCACACAAGGAAACTACATAGAACTTTATTAAAATCCTTAAACACTTAAGAAATCACTTACAAGTGGCACTAAAACATGATTTTTGATGTCAAGTGGTGTATCTGAGAGAAAGATAACTCTCAAATATGTTATCAGAGGAGCTGCTAGCTAAAACTAACATCTCAAAGGTACATATCACATGGAAGCCATGTAAGAAATTAGGTGTAATATAAATGCACAGAAATAGGATGTGTCTAATAAACTCGCCAGTTTCAGTAACTCCATACACTGGAGAAAAGGGAGTGGATGGACAAATTGCTGGACAAAAGAGAATGTCACACTTCGGTGAGAAGGACTCAGTATTTCCTCTGTTTTAACAGGGATATCAAGGGATTTAAAAGTTCCTTAGGCTGACGTGCTGTTTATTTAAAAAAGCTTAGGTGACTTTTATAAACTGTTACATACACTATCAGACAATTGTAATGGGCAGTTCTCAACAGAATAAAATAAAAATTGAAAAAATGCATGTACTGAAATGAAAATAATGGCCACAATTCATGAACTGGCAATGCTCTGGGTTCCAATATCCATTAACCATCTGTGAAGAGTTTTGTCCTGATAGCATTAAACATCACATGCCTGAGGTATAAGACTAGCTTCTATTCCTGTGATTTCTTAACATGAATGTAAACTGATAAATCAATACTTATTTCTAAAAGACTTAAAGGGATTGGCTCATTATAGGAAGACAATGTGAATTAAGAGATTAACTTAGAGGAAAAAAGGACAAAAAAAAAAAAAGTAAGCTAGAAATACAAGAGACCAGAGGCTATCTTCATAATGATCCCAGAAGAAATGGGAATTATAAATAAATTAAACTACAGTGGGACAAAACTGGCTAATGAACTGGAAAATGTCCGTACTTCTTTGTCAAAGAGAGAGTTTCCCAAAACTGAAGAAAGTTCAAACTACTCTGATCTAAACCTTCAGAGACATACTGCAGCGGGAAACATAAATCTTAAGTTCAGGAAGGGTCAGGATTATGTCTTAAGTCCATGTACAAACAGGGCGATTCCATGAGATCACCCTCTCCACACCGGAGAGGATGATGTCCGGGCAAAGCAAACATACTCACAGGAGCAGCAGAGGCCCTGCTTCCCCACGCCGATCAGCATGTTCAGGCAAAGGTTGCAGTAGGCGGGTTTGTTAAAGTGCTTGAGTCGCCACACATGCTGGCCGTCATCCTTCACGTTCTGCACGGGCCGTTTAAGAGAAACAGATTTCACTTAATGAAATAAACAGTGGGCTAGGGAAGTGCCAACAAAATTCAGAGCTGGACTGAAGCATTTGAAGACAATCTGTTATTTCATCCCTGACTTTCTCCAAGATCGCCACGGAGTCTAGAAAAACACATGTGCTCTGGTGGAACGCGATCCTGCTAACAGATCTCGGGTGCTATGGCAACCCACAAATTCTTGCCTAATGTCAGCAGTTCAACAGCATGCCCCAAACCATCACCGTGACCGGCCACGCTGAGGACTCACAAGAACAGAGATGTGCCTGCCTCACCTTGGTATACCTTACCTTCCGCATGATCCCATAAACAAATACATGAATAAAGAAAGAGGAAATACTCTTCAGTGGAAGATTTTGAGAAAGGAAAACCTGGATAGAATATTAACCCTTGCTTAATTGCAGAAATATGCAAATTTCATATGGTGGTTAGATCTTAGAAGGAGGCAGAGGGATGGGATGGGAAAATAACACCTAAAGGTAAGTCACTGGTGCTAGTCTAAGTAAGGCTTCAGTGGAGGGATTCCTTATATGTTATGATTTATGTCAGTATATTTTGTATGTCTCATATAGCAAATTTTTAAAAATAAACTTTTTGAAGTGTCAAATTACATTATCATTTTGTTTGCTCCTCCTTTGCAAAATACTTTAATCTTATAAAAAGATGGAAACAATATTAAAATTCTATTATTGTGCTTATTTATAACAATCATTCTAGTTATTTGCCACAATAAAACCTTGGGTTTAATTAATTCACATTCTAACAAAACAACTGTAATTATTACTTATTCTTCTAAGTAAAATCCTACATAACATCCTAATAGCTACTCCGCAGCAGGCACTTACTTCCATCTGCATTGTTCAACATTGAAGTAAAATGAAATAATATGATGCTTTTGAATCTCGTGAATCCCTTACAAGGAGGTCAAGATAATAAATGAAGTTATTATATATCATTACTTTTGTTATCATCGTTTTCTGTATTAACATGTAGTCCTTGTACATCACTCACCAAATTATATCAAACTCAGATTAATTTCAGACATCATTTATTTGTATTGTATAGAAACCATTACTGGCCAGAGTTTTTCAGGTTATACAAGTTGCCATATTTCTTAGAACACAATGACCTAATTAATTTTTTGAGCACCTATTATGTGCTGGGGAGCTAACACAAATTCTGGGGTACAGGGGCAAGATAAACATGTCCAGATCATCTTGTTTCTCTTGATAATAAAATAGTAGTAATAATACTTCCTAACCACATTTTCCTACTCCCAGTCAAGAGATAAAACCACCGGATCTAAAGCGCCCAATTAAATCCATAGTAACTAAATCTTACATTAGAACCAGAAATGTCAAATTTGCATCATAATATGAAACATTAATGAAAATGCTTCCTGGGAGATCATTCTCCCTGGGTCTCTTGAATTTCTGCACATTTTGTAAGCAGAAGAGCTGTCTTTTTTTCCAGGCTATCTTTTCAAAGATGTCTGAATTACACAGAGCCTTGAACAATAGAGATGTGTCTCCCTCCAGAGGAGAGGATGGGTTTGCTTACTGTCTATATCATAAAAAGAATCTCTCCTTTTGAACCAAAGGTTAGGCAGGTTTGTCTACTGCATATTATAAAAGGTTTAGTTTCCCCAAGCCAGGGGTTCCGAAACCTGACGCTGTGCACAGCCATTACTTGGGTCCCTCTCCATCGCCCCTAAGAGACTTCATGGGCCAGGAGCCCCGGCTCAGATGTGACGCGACTACCACTTCTTTGCTGTGAGTAAACAAGTCTTTGCTGCTGACCCAGGTGCTCATGTCCTCTGCCGGCGGCTATGAACCTGTGGCATGCCAGCCTGTCCACCTGCCGGTACAGTACCTCTCAGCCCCTTCACGGCTCTTGATAATGTTCAGCTTCATTTTTCTGAAAAAGGACTAACAAGTTCTCAACTAAATCCCTTACACAGAACGTGCTGTGGGGAGGCTGTCCGAAGACATTGGTGTTGCAATTTTTTTTTCAAAACTTAAGACATAGGTTTTCTAGTAGTTTCTGAAGCCAGTTCCAGTTTAGCTGAGTCGTAAGATTTCTAATATCTTTATTATGTGAATGGCATACTTTATACATTTGTTTAATTTTGCTGTATTTCCCAAACTGTCTAGATTTTTAAATTTCTATTCATTCATGCAAGAAAAAGGCACCCTGATGTTAAAAGTTTAGGTAAGGAGGTTCACTCTTTAAAAATACACTGCAAGTTAGCTTTAAGCATTGTTTAATTAATTTAATTTTTTAGTGTTGACGTGTAAGAGAAAAAAGAAAATTTAATTTTCATGTGGATGACTGTTCTCCTAATCCTTGTCATTTTATTTTTAACTGAGTGTCCATTACATGTGAATAAGCCCCATCCTGTGGAAGAGCACATATGGACTAAGTTAGCTGGCATTTTCCTTATCAAAAGATAAACAAGTCTGAACGTGGGTGTTCTGTCAATCAGAACACTTAGCCATGTTACAGGCTGCCACTGATGTACAAATCCATTACCCAGACAGAAAATGCTTTACCAAAAAAACAAATTAAATCGCTTTATAGCTCTTAGCCGGATACATCGCCAAAATATGCAAAGGATGAAATATGTATGTGACTTCAAGAAATTGAAACCAGGAGCCAACTATTTCTCAGCAGTGCAAATTACACTCCGACGCGCTGTAGTCTCATGTCCTGTCTTGTTTGTCTTATTTAGATGGCAAAGTTAGTGGGGAGGGGGAGAATCTGCCCCTCACAATATTCTATCAGCCAGTAGAACATAGTCCTATTAGTACTTCTATCACAAATAAATATTTATTGTCATAGAAGGGAATCCATTTTTATAAAAGAGGAATAAAGAGAAAATGTGGAAGGCTGGATTCCTGGCTCCTGATGAAAATGTGGATAATCCATTCCACCTTTCTTCTTATTTTCCTTTCTAATAAAATCAAAGTACCCACTTTCCTCACCCGAGCCGTGGTGTGAGGTTTCATTATACAATACCTGTGAAGTCAGTTTAGCTCCTCAGAAAACTGGTGTTATATAAACAGCAAATATTATTGCCCTCACTGGGCTGGGTTGTGTAACGTCCCAGCACTTCAGCCAAAAGATCTGAGAAAGATGTCTGGAGGTTCACAACATTTTATTTCATAAAAACTGTGTTCTCCTGATTTTTTTCATTGCCAGATATTATTCTTCATAAACATTTATTCCTGTTACTTGGAAAACACTGCATTTTATCATGAAGCAGTTCAGTTCTGGGCTGACGTCAAAGAAACGTGTCATGAAACCCAGGGGAGCCTTCAGTCATGGAGCCCCAGGTTCCCCCTCGTCTTCTCATCCTCTGTGTGTCAAAGGGAGGTTTCAAAGGGAAGAACGCTCTTTGGACAATTTTGAAACCTACTTCATTATCTCAGTGATTTTTCAAAAGTTTTAGTTTTTCTCTAAATGCCTCCAAGACCACATAGACGGGTCAAGTGAACTAGGGCTGTTATAAATAAAATCATTTTTTTCCTAAAAGACCTCAAGGAGAAATTTCACTGGTGTCACAGCTGAAATGCTCCTGTCCTCACACCTGGCCAGGCCCCTGTTTCCACTGACATCACTTATAACACATAGAAGAGCTAATGTCGCAAATGAACGCAACTCATTAAATAATAAGCACCACTAATTCACCTTCCTGTTCTGTTCAAGGTCTCCCAGAAATAATAACAACATGAAAGAAACTGCTCTTTCAGACAACAAAATGAGCAGTGTTTAGTCCTAGGCAAAGAAAATGCAATGAGAAGTTGTACAATTCTGAATGGAGCTGCAATCAACTATTTATCTCCAGGCCCCACTTTCTGAAGTCAGGCTGAGACCCTGACATTCATCAGGTCCAAATGCCTATTCAACTGTGTGTGACATCACATGGTCAGTTTCCTTGAATGGCCCTATCTGGCATCTCAAGAATTATCTGATTTAGCCAGTTTCATAACTCCTTTCTAGACTGAGCAATGTATAAACAGCAGAACAACAACTCAACCAAATTCAGTTTTTAAAAAATAAAATGTGAAACATCAGTTTTCCAAATACAGCTTTTAGTCTATCAAGAATGCATCACCTTCTACCCTCCCCCACACTCATCAGGGACACATTTCATATCAGAAATCAGGAGGCAAACCAAACAACTACTTTTACTGTATTGAGTCAGGCAAAAAAGTGCCCTAAAACATTTCAATCAATGGCAAAGTTTAAACAACACATAGGGATTAAAGATCGGATTTTGTGAGCACATATAGTGAAATCAAAATACGTATTCATTCAAAAATCATACAGACCAGATGTGGGCATGACCATCTAATACTAACAAGTTAAGGTATCTGTAGTAACCTTTAATGAAAAAGAATATATGGAATAAATGTAGGTATATTCATGACTAGGACATTGTGCTCTTCACTAGAAATTGACAGATTGCAACTGACTGTTCTTAAACATAAAACAAAAAACCAAAAAAAAAGAAGAAGTTAAAGTATCCTTATTTTAAGACAGTCTCCTATTGAAGTATGTATTCCTGTTTTTATGATAATATGAATTTAGTAATTTTCCTTGAAAAATCTAATAATGATAGAAGATGACAGATTTCAGAAATTGGAACATTACTAATTATCTTATTTATCTAGGAAAAAAGAACATTTGAACTGAAAGAATGTTAGAAAAAGAAAGGGATACTCTTGACTAACTTCTTTTTATATGTCCAGAGAAAATAACTGTCTGGCACAAGATGATCTAGTTAGTTAATAACCAAGCCAAGGTGAAGGTCAATTTGATGAAATGCACTGCTACTATAGTAGAGTATAATATAATTAACTAGTCCTCATGTCTTGCTGGGGCGGTCTAACTGAGCTACGTAAAAGATATGAGATTTCATTTTCCAAAATAATTAAAAACAAGTTAAAACTCATTGTCTGTCATGTGACAGATTAGTGATAAAATAAATCAGGGATCAGCAAATTATGGGTCAAATCTGGCCAATAATCTGTTTTTGTTAATACAGTTTTATTGGAACACAATATTGTTCTTTCATTAAGTAGTGTCTGTGGTTGCTTCTGTACTAAACTAGCAGATTAGTGTTGCAACAGAGACCTGATGTACCACAGAGTCTCAACTATTCACTGTCTGCCCTTTTACAGACAAAGTTGGCAAACTGCCAGAGTAGAGTCTATTGTTAGATACAGTTATTTAAAACAGAAAAACATTTTCATTCAAAATTAAGATTTTTATAAAAAAGTAATTTTTCAATGAGATGAATGCTGAGGAAGAATGAGAAAGTCTCAGGCATATTTTTTTTATTGTCATCAAAATCACATATGCCACCCCAACTCTCAATTTTCCTTTAGATGGTAAGAGGTTACACCATTTCAGATCAAGGATCGTAAAGTTTGAAGGATTTCTTGTAAGAGAAAGGAAATGACTCTTACTCTCTAGCATTTGATAAAGAATTAGGTTCTGACAAAAGACACTTCTGATTTTGGCACTGAAACAGTTTCAAAAACTCTGTTGACGGAGAAGAATGAACTATAATAAAATTACAACTGCCTTGCGCTACATCACAAGTGAGGATGGCTCTCGCAGGGCAACATTTTCATCTGTGTAATCTGGCTACTACACCAGTCACTTTCAAATACACTGGGGTATTTAACATTACTTAGAATCAGCTCCCTGAGCTCGTGACTGACAACAGACAAGAATATATAGGACCACATAACAAGACAGACCCCATAATAAATGGCTGAATTCAACCTAAAGCTTCTAGATTTCCAATCTGATAAGCAAAGGTGGGAGGTGGGGCGTGGGGGGGGGGGGCAATGGAACCATGAATCAAATTCTGTATAGGTAATAACATAACACAACACATTAACTGCCTACAGGAAAGGAAATAAGTCTCAATTACAACAAGAGGGCCTTCATCGCTCAGTTATCACTGTCTCATTCCTGCTTTGTGAAAAACTTACGATGCCTGGGATTTAAAAAGCTGTTTTTAACAAACAGAGGCTCGGTTTTGTGATCGTAATTATATGGCTTATCTATTTTATTAAAAGGTAATTTTAAAACGATTATTGGTATAATCTTTTCAAGAAGTGAAGAAAAAGTGATATTACTCTCAGAATTGTTCTTTACAAAGGAAACTTCTAATCTCATATGCAAGTTGACCTACAGGAGTTAACCAAGGTTGCCCTGCCATCTAGTGGTCATCACTGGGAAGACAGCTTTGGAACACAGCTTTCGGTTACTTTGAAATCCGATACTGATTTCTCCTATTAGGTTCGGGGTGTGGCGGGGGGAAGAACCTCTTAACTAAAAACATAAAATATAAACTTAAGAATGAATAGAAAGTAAATTGTGTATCATTAACCTGATTGATACTAATGAAAAAATTATCATTCCATTGAAACAGTTACTGCTACACTAGAAACTGATGAGGTAATTGTTTAAATATTTTTAGTTAAATCCAAAAGATCTGTGGATTATGTTTACTCATGCTATTTTGATAACTTCAAAAATATCTGTATCTATGAACAAAACTGTAAATAATTTTCTAAACATTATTTTCCAAAGAAAAACATTAATACTTCCAAATCCTTTTGTGATACTTGAAATATAGATGACTAAGTCTCCATTCCTTATGAAGATGAATACATGTATATATATATATGACTGAAACATTGTGCTATCCACCAGAAATAGACACATTGTAGCTGACTATATTTCATTAAAAAGTATCAATTTCTGCACGTGCCTGTCCAACCAAATGACTGACTTATTCATTCCTGCATATTCTCTCATTCTATCAAACAAGAATTTCCATAAGGATTTAGAATTTAAACACGTTAGCTTTAAAAATATAAAATTCCCTTTTAGGGAACCATTATCGTTAGAATTTCTTGAATAGTCATTTGTCAACTATTTTTCAGGACAGAATATACACCAAACCTTACAAAGTTAACATTTTGTCAGTTTTCTCCCAACAGCCTGATTTACATATGTTTTTTGTCAGAAGGTATATTAAAAAGTTAAACCCATATTTATGATAGATATATAGTCAGTTATTACAAAAAGATAAGAGGTTATGCACAGTATAAGGACACTAAATACAAAAACCATTGCTTCATTAATTTTCAAAATGTAGAAATATGTATCTATTAACAATGAGATCTATATTGATTATCTTTGTTTTAATAAATTATTTAAGGGTAATTTCCGCTGATTTATCATCTATTAGTAATTTTTCTTTTCCTTCCTCTGACCATGTCTAAAATCCCATGGGCCTCATGAAGGGTAAAGATTAAGCTGAATGTAAAAGAACGTGAAGATCCAGGCAAAACAGAGACAAATTCTGCAGACCCAAAGCCCATTTATAAATTCCCAAACGCCTATGTGAATATGTACAAACATATTTTTACATACTCTCACATGTCTTACAAACACAGGCTGCAAGATCTCCTGAGGACTGACTTTTAAAAATCTCGGTGTCTTGAATAACTTAGGTATAGTCTTGAATCTAAAAAACTTGTTATTGCTGGTAAGAAGCAGCATGAAAGGTTTTGGGGTCAGCAGCAAAGCAGCAGACACTGTGTTCTTGCATCTCAAAACTCTAAATATTACATGTGGTGCTTTCCATCAGTAAAACTCCTTGAATCTAAGTAAATATTTTACTACATGCATGTTAGAGTTAATTCTTCTTTATTAACGCTAGATACAAAAATCTAGTGTTGACTCATTGGATTTTTAAGTTAACTGTTACTGAAATTCACATCAAGACTAGGGGAGCAAGATTTGGTTTCAAAATCATTATCATACCAAATTCTGATCTCAGGTTGGTCTACTTTATTCCCAAACCAGTTTTAATCATGACGGGAGGCACTGATATAAGAAAACCGACAAACTTAGAAGGAAGAATTTTGAGAGACTGCTTTAAAAAAAAATATATATATATATATATATATATTATCAATCATCTTGATATATAGTCGTCTCCTCCAAGTACTGATCTGATCATCAATAAAACAGATCTTCATGGGGACGGGGATTACAAAATGGGTGGAGACCATAAGAACCACAGAATGCAATGCTACTGGGGCGTTTCTTGCATTAAATAAACTGAGACAGCTGAGATTTTTAAAAATTAGATTGTACTTTAAATAGCAGGAAACTAAAGAGAGAAGTTATGTGTTAAATAATAAGCTAATACCTAAAATGAATCAATTTATTCATGGCAACTGTTCCTGCACAAGGAGTTACTGTTAAAGTGCACGGTAGCATACACATTAGAAGGGCCGGGCACTCACTGTACACTTAACGGTAGAAAATGACCAGATCAATTTATAATCAAAATGTGTCAAAGAAAACCCTACACCAGGCCATGCTCTCTGTGTAAATGCTTACGTTTTCTAAGCCCAGGAGCACAAGAAGTGGAATTGTTGTCATTCCTCCTTGAATCCATTCCTCCAGAGAGACGGTTCCATCATGATCATAGTCAATTTCTTCCATCATTTCATGAAGGATCTGGAGTGAAGATGAGGAAAAACTTGAAATACATCAATAAAATAAATGTCACATGATACAACAAAGTACTACATTGAATTGCTTAAGATAAACTGTGACTAGCTGCTAAGTAGAGAGTTGAGGTAAATAGCTAGATAACTTGGGACAATGTTAACCCTATTATTGAGAATACAGTGGCTTTGTTATGACTTCTACAACGTGACTACGTACATTGATCAACTTTGAGAAATCCTTGCTCAACTTTTTAGTATTTTGTCATCAAATGGTACAATTTTAACAAGAAGATATCTTTAATTTAAGGACAAAAGTGGCTTTAATTGCTTTCTCTAGTTTTTTTTTTAATTCAAATATATGCCAGGTAATGACTGAACAAATTAACTTCATGGCAAAGAGCTGAAATAATTCTTTGCTAAGTGGCGTGGGGTGGGGGAATTAAGTTGCTTTTAATTGCCTATCATAACTTAATAGAGCCAACATGTTAAACAGTCTAGTCATTTTTGATTAGATTTCTTTTCTAAAGATGACTTGCACAGTGTGTCCCAAAATGTTCTCCGCGGTACGTGTTTGTAATACATCTATTTCTCGCCTGTATAGTGCTAATATTAGTTGTTAATTCAAAGGGTTGTTGTGAAGATTAAATGCATGAATACAGTGTCTTCGAAGAGTCCGTAGTATACATAGTAAGTGTACTATAGGAGTTGTTCATGTTACATTAGCAGAAATTATGTTTGCGTCTTAAACATATTACCCTTGGCTGCTGGGAAGGTGAAGCATCTCCCATCTAATGGACCCAAAGTGGCAAACATGGTAGAATCCAATAGAAAATAACTCACCATTTTAATCTAATATGGATGTGTTAATCAATTTGGGGGGGAAAAAAGAAATACAGAGAGCATTAAAACAAAAATTTGAAAAGGTGCAATAAATGGAATATTTGATATGTTGACAGAAGTGTTGTTTGTAAAAATCCCTGAACTTGGCTGACTGGTGTCTTTCCTCAGGAAGTATCTGAAAATCAGATTATTTTCCTTCATAAAAACAAACTTCTTTAGAGGCATGGGCAAAAGACTCTTTGGAATAAAATGATGCTGAAATAATTATTTCATTATCCTTAAAATGAAAGACAAGGAAAATTGTTTACAATTTGGTAAAATGGCAGATGATCTCCTAGGACATCTCTGTCTCCCCTACTAACTGCTATCAACCTCAAAAGTACAATTCTCTTTATTAACTTATGCAAACTCATCAGGAGTCAGACAACATGTGCAAATGTGTACGTTTAAAATGGGGAGAGCTGGTGCATCATTAGGCAGCAGGAGGCAGTTACTATGGCAGCGAACACAGTGCACAAGGCAAGTCTTTTATCTTGACTCTCTACTGTCCATCCTACCCAGAGAAGAAGCAGACTTCTCAGTACCCGCCACAAATGACTAATGATGGGATATAGTTTATCATTTGTATTTTCCAAAGGATATTTGTCCTCATTAGACTGCCCGACCACCAACTATTCCCTTCCTTAGAGCATCCAGATCTCCCCTTCCTCAAAGTCCCCACCACCAAACACTTTCTGTTGTGATGTGGTGCTGCCTCCATCTGCTTTCAAGGCTGACTGAAAAAGATCCCCTTCCCTGTATTACTCCAATGAGGACAAGAGGCTTGATTGGTAGATGGATTCTATTCACAGGTATTACATTAAATAGGATGGAGAATGCTGTTTTAAACTAACCAAAAAAGGCAGCAGAATTTATAAGAAGTCCTTTGATTTCAGTGAAAACAGTATTATAATGAATCAAGCGGTATTCTTAGCATTAAATATATGTTACTTTGTTATTCCATATGTAAACTACAATTTTGTTAATGGTATCTGCCATTCATTATGTCACAGAATGTGCATTTCCACATAAAAAAGAAAGACAGAAAGAAAAAAACGGTAGAGTTAAACCTCAGAAAATCCTAATCCCAGCTAAGAATGCGTCCTCCTTTTAGAAGACAGTGCCGACTTGGTTACCCTTTAACACCATCAGTTTGCAAAGCAAGGGGAATGCCATTAGGGCTCTTGCATCACTTAATCATGCCATCACCATTCTGTTGACTGCATAAATGTGAATTTCTGTGGTTAAATAGGCTCTCTGAGTTCATATAAAATGTAAACCATTTAAATAAAACTGACTTGTATTTATTTAATTAATGTGCAATTTGCTAAACTTCGTTCGTTTCCAAGAGAAATTAAGATCAATAACATTTGTTAACTCTCCCTAAAACACTACCTGTGGCCAAAGTTTCTAATCAAGTATGATTAATACATCTTTGAATAATGTTGTAACTTTGGTATAAATCTACTGAAAATAAGAAGGTTTTTTTTAAATGTGCTTCTAGTCATTGTTAGATACTATTTCTTTAAACAACTGATTAGCATTTCCGGGCTCACCCTTTAACTAGCTGAAGACCTTTGGGTAAGTACCATTCACATTTTGGGATGGCAGTTTCACCATCTGTAAAATGAATAAAATAGCAGTGCCTACCTCACAGAGTTGTGAGCCTTAACACACACACAAAGGATAACACAGAGCACTGTGCTCCGTAAACCACCATCATCATCTCCTTAATCACCTTCATCCTCTTTTAGAGTCACTATTTTAGCTGTTCCCAGATAAGGAAAATCATAGAGATCATAAAAAACATGTCAGCTCTGAGGTTTTTATGGCATGGCATTAGCCATGTCTTCAGCAGCTTCTATTCACCTGCGTGTACATAAGACCACCATTCAAATTAATTTCCAGGAGAAGGAAAAGCAAAAGCTATTGATAGGAGCTTCAGAAAATGACATATGCCTTTTCCTGTTCAGAATCCACTTTGGCTACTGATTCGAAATAGTAACTTAGAGTTATCAAAAGATAAAATCAATGCCAGTAATATATTACAGTTCCAAAAAAGACAAAAGAGACAGAGGCCTTCTAGAAGGCGGCCACCAGTTAAGTCATTCATGTACCTACTGGGTTAAGCTCAGTGACGTCCCACTCCAGGTACTCGGCCACGTGCATCATCTGACTGATGATGTTTTCCAGCTCCTGGATGGGGGGGGGGGCGAGGAAGGGGGAGAAACGGGGTGGGTGGAGGGACAATGAATGCAAGGTCTCAGTAAGTTCTTCAACGTTCACTGACAGGAACTGTTCTGTTCAACTGGTCGCTCAGAAACTGAAGGAGTGATGTGATGCATTTTATATAAATAAGTAAACATCTACCTCTTCTCTTTAAAGCTCTAAGTAACAACACATGAAAGAGGAGCCAGGAAGCAAATTCACTTTGTACTTTGTCTAGAAATCGTCACCAGGAGAGGGCACAGCTATACAAAGAAGGATTTTTTTTCTTCTAGAAGATTTTTAAGAAAAATTTTGTTTGAAAAGCAGTGTCTGATGAAAGTAGCCATATGCATATTTCCACAAGACGTGATTTTCAAGTCACCAAGCATCCTGACCCTGTGGCTTGCAAACAGGTATGGACGGGAGGAAGGAAGTGTTTGAGGGCAACTGAGAGGTTTATTATTATTCTGATACACTGAGAACGCGTATTAACTGTTCCAGCCATTTACTGGTATAATTTGTTCGGCTAGAGGAGTGTTCAGGGTCAAGGTTTGAAGGCTAAGTGTACATAGAGTTTATTTTACAAGGGGAATGAATTTTAGATTCAAGTTTTACATTGTTCTGCTCAATGTTAACTCTTTGAGAAACTGCTAGTTAATATATATGGCTTGGCTAAATAAATTAAAACATTTTTATAATGATTTATTTAATATTTAAATTTTTCTGTTATCTCCAGAAATGATTAAATATGCTTTGTGAATGCTGATCATTTTAAGGGTGGTCAGTCAATGACATAATTAAAGGTGGTGTTTTATAGCATTGCATTTGAAAATATAAAAAATATAAAAGAATAAGGCTTGAAAATATATTAATAAAAAA